AATATCATATATTGATATACATAATTCCCTATGTGTTCCCAAATTTAAAATATTAAGAATATAATTGAGGGGCTGGAGTTGTAGCTCAATAGTAAAGTGCTTGCCCAGCATATGTGAGGCACTGGGTTTGATCTTCAGTACCACATAAAAATAAATAAACAAAATACATGTATTATGTCCATCTACAATTAAAAATACTTTTAAAAAAGAATATAGTTGAAATCTCAATCTCTTGATACATTTCTCCAAGAACAAAATGTCATTGGGTGGCATACAGCAGGTACAACTGTTGCCTACTCAATAACTTTTACCCCCTTGCTATGAGAGTCCCAATATTGTTCCAATAGAAGTCAGAAGGTACACAATAATAGGAGATGAATCATGTGGAATGAAAACCAGTTATTAGAACTTTACAAGCTAGGGATGATTTAGGAGTAAACCTAATCCAGTTTTAGCCCATGAGTTACGAGTCTGCTGGGAGCTCTTGGTAAAGATTTTTTAGAATAATAAAATGAAGCATACATGTGTTTGTATAAATAAATAAACAAATAATAAAAAATTCTTCTATGGTTAGATTTTTGTTGTATGAGAAACTGGAATTGTGGCAAGCATTTTGTAATCCTGGATGGAAAGCTAACAAATGTACATGTAAAGCACTGGGATTGTTCAACACCATATAAAAATAAAGATATTGTGTCTACCAACAACTAAATTAAAAAAATTTAAAATGAATACCAGAAATGGAGATACATATACTGTTCAAAGAATAGAAGACTCAGAGTAATAAAGATATCAATTCTCCCTGATCTGATCTGCATAGTTAATGCAATTTGTATCAAATTTCTAGCAATGCTTTTTAATACATGGGCAAACTTATTAAAGCATTAATATGGAAATGCATAAACTCTAGTTAAAACAATCTTGTCAAAGAAAAATAAATTGGGAGGAATCATTCTACCTGGGATTAAAACAATCTTGTCAAAGAAAAATAAATTGGGAGGAATCATTCTACCTGGTATTAAGACCTATTATATAGCTTCAGTAATTATGACAGTGTAGTATTGGTGGGGGAAGACATACAGATCAACGGAAGAGTACATGCATCCAAGTACAATCTAATTTTTGACAGGTAAAATAAGTAATTCAATGGTGAAAGAACAGCCATTCAACAAATGTTGATGAAGCAATTGAGTGTCCTTAGGTTGGGAGGGGAAAAAATACATCAACCTAAAATTTACACCTTATACAAAATTAACATGAAGTGAATCATAGAATTAAGTGTACAATATAAATATATAACATTTTTAAATAGCAAAAATCTTCTAGATTTACAGTTCAAAATTCTCAGACTATACACAAAAACCATAATCCACAAAAGCAAAAAAATGTTAAGTTGGACCTCTTCAAAATTAAAAATATTCTCTGCAACCTATACTATTTGAAAAGCATAAAAAGATAAGATACAGACTGGGGGGTAAATTATCAAACCAATATCTGACAAAGGATACATATCTAGAATAGAGAACTTTGAAAACAAAAGCAAAAAACAAGAGTTTAATTTTTAAAAAGCAAGATACCTGAATAGACATTTCACAAAAAAAGATAAACGATGGCAAACAGGCATATGAAAAGCTATTTAAAATTAATCATATTAGAGAAATGTATATTAAAACCACAAACCGGTATCACTGAACACCTATCAAAATGACTAAAATAAGAAAATAAAAACAATAAATTCAGGTAAAAATGTGGAGAAACTGGATTATTCATATTTTCATGGGAATGTAAAATGGTATAATTCTTCTGGAAAACAGTTTGGTAGCATTTTTTAAAACTAAATATGCAATTATCCTATGACCCAGCAATTGTACACTTGGATGTTTATAAGAGAGAAAGGAAAACTTTTAACTCAAGGAAAACATTTATCTCAGATGTTCACAAAATTCTTTTATGTGAAATTGCATTGCAGCTCCTTTTTTAATCAGTCAAAACCTGGAAACACCCCAGATTTTTAAAGGGTAAATCATTAAACAACTTACATTCATAACTCCAAACCATGGAATACTATTCCACAAGAAAAACTGAGCAAATGATCAATGTACACAATAATATGGATGAATTACTAGAGAATTATGCTGAATAAAAAAAAAAGCCAAGGACAAAAGACTATATATCATGCTGTTACATTTATATAGCATTCTCAAAATGGCAAGGCTAGGAAACAGATCAGTGGATGCCATGGGTTAGGGATTTGCTGGAGGGAAAAATAAGGTATGATGACAAAAAAGCAATAGGAAGAATCCTTGTGGTAATGGAACCATTCTGTTCTGTAGTGGCTGTGGTGGTGGATACATGAATGCATGTGATAAAATAGTATAGAACTAAATACACACAAACTCTATGTGCACAGAATGTAACATCAATAACAGATATGTAAAAGACCAACAAAAACAGTCAGGAACTTGTGTAATACTTTTCACAGTTTACAAAACAGTATTCATGAAGATTTTTATGATGTGTCCCTCAAAAATGCCAAAAATCTACTATTTAGTGATACCCTTACTTACTCACGGGAAAATAAGAAAATTTTCTAGATAAATAAAGCTTGTCCCTTAAAATGATAACTTTTTCTAACCATTTTAGTACTCTTTCTAAAACATACTTCAAATTTCCATAATTTTTCAAGTGTAGGAATGACAATATTATTTTAACTTGCCTGAAGACACTGGGATAGAATTATGATCACCAATTGTTATACTGTGTTATAATATGGTGATGGGCTTAAAGGGATCTTCTGGTATGAAAATCCATTTATTCCTACACAAAATGGCCCACAGTTTGCTCTCAGATTGATGATGCTGTCTTCACTTATGTTAGTCTATTACTTAGCACCTGAAACCGTAGCACTTAGATTTGAAAAATATTTTTGAGATTACTTAGTCCAAACCCTTCATATTTTAGACCCAAAGTGAAAGCATCTCTTGCTGAGTATCACATAGTAAGTTGAATGGGAAAGGCAGGACTATGCCCCTGGTCTCAGTATGTTTGTCTCTAGCAAATAGCCTTTTTCCTATTTGTAGATTTAAACTACTACAATAGGGGAAAAAGGGGAAACAAGGTTGTTAGAAATATATATTAAATAAAGATTTAGATTTAAGTCAATGGTTTCTGAGTTATAACTTCTCATATAAAGTAAATCTGACAGTTGATTTGGCCCCTAGCCCCTTTTCACCTGGCAATATGGGACTGAGTGAGGCACTTTAATTCCTATTTGCTCATGTCATTAAGCACTAACTATATATAACTGGATTTTCTGTATAGTCCTCCACTTCCAGCTGTTCTCAAGGCTCTTCCTGCTCTAGTGAATGCAGACATGGAACATTATTTGTGTTTACCTCTTGTTCCATATTTTAATTGGCAATCAGAAGAGCACAAAACAGAGTCCTATTTGGCTATTTTAAGGCAAAGTTTATAATCTAATTTTCTATTTCTCACTGTGAGAAGTTCTAAAAATGAAATTGAACATATGAGCAACAGAAAATGAGATGATTTCCTTTGAACTCAAAATGTTATCTAGTCAGTAATCAGAAACTATTAACCTTAACTGTCAGGTAGAGAAATCAAAAGCCTTGAAGAATCAAAAAGTACCTTTAAGAGGGCTACAGTATGATTCTATGAAATAGTCAAGTAATACTCATGGGCACAAAATATCACACAATAAAATTACCAAATATTTACTCCTACTTATTATAAGAATATAACTTTTCAGTTGAAATCACCTTCCTCATAAATCTTCCTATACTGGATTTGGACAATGTCAGTAAGCTGTACCTTTTAATACTAAATGACATTTAGGATTATGTAATTATAATCTTTATCTCATGTTTCAAAGGCAAATCTTTTACAGAAAATCATAGAACATTAACTGTGTATTTATGAGGAAATTTCCAATTACCTGAAAGACATGAAAATAGGTTAAAAAAATCAAGCACCAGTTACCAAACATTTCACAGGCTCACTCTGGCATAACAAGAATGAGTAACATGACAAAGCATATCCTGAAAAATCTCTGATGAAACGCATTGTAAGACCTAATTACTATTAAAGTGCCTAAGAGCTGATGCACTAAACCTTTCAACTTGTTAACCACATATCACTTAAAAAAAAAATAAGTCAGGTGGTGCATACCTGTAAGCCCAGGGATTCAGGAGACTGAGGCAGGAGGATCACAAGTTTGAGACCAGCCTCAGCAACTCAGCAAGGCCCTAAGCAACTTACTGAGATCCTGTCTCAAAATTAAAAAATAAATAAAAAGGACTGGGAATATAAATCAGTGGTAAACCCTCCCTGGGTTCAAGCCCCAATACCAAAAAAGAAAAAGAATCTATTCCAATTATTGTAAAACAATGAATCTTTCACTTGGAGGGAATACTTTGAACATTTATAATTCCCACTATTTTACCATAATTTGTAAAAATATGTATCCAAATGCTATAACCACTAAACTTAACTAAATCAAAATTATAATCTTGCAATTTTGCTACATAGAATGTTATACTAGAAGAATGATCTAGTTGGACAAACACTGGAGCAGGAGTAAAGAACCCTGAAGTTTAATTTCAGGCTCTATCACTCTCTAGTTTAGGTTTGTGGCCTTGCCATTTGCCACACCATATGACTTTTGGTAAATTACTTAATCTCTGAGTTCCTTTGCAGATTTTCTTAAAAAATGAAACTATTCTATTGCAAGACTTCTGTAAAGATCATAGGAGATAATATATTTAAAAGAGTTTGGTAAATTGTAATCCAATAAAGAAAGATGGCATTACCAGTTCCTAAATAGAAAAAAAAAAACTAACAGACTTAAGAACAAGCAAAACCAACATATCAACTTGACTTGGAGCAACCAATGTCATTTAAAACTTTATTATTGGCTTCATATGAAGAAGTTTGAAAAAGAAGTCGTTACTGTTAGTTATCTAAATAATTATTTTCCATACCTGGCATAACAAAATACTTCCACGTGTTGAATAGTTTTGTCCTTCCTGCTAAGAGCAATGGCTTCTTCATTTTCAAGGATTTGTTCTTGCCACAGTGAATTATCAATCACAATGTCATTGTTTTCCTAAGCAAAACACATGAGAAGTTTTAATTAAATTGAGCAATTGGAACCTGTAATTTTCTGAGAAAATGTGTACCTTTTCTAAATTCATACTTTTCCTTTCATCACATTGAAATTCCAAGGACATCATCACTTCAGCATCATTGAAATGACTCCAAAAGAGGGTGCCAAATTCAAAGGAAGGAGAAGAAAACACAGTGTAAAAGTTATGCTACCAAAACCTAGCTTTGGTACATAAAATTTCTATCAGGGCATATGACATTTGATACAGTCTTCTGGAAATGGCTATTTTGATGCAGATTAAGAATTAGCAAAAGTAACCTACCTGCTGAGAATCAAACATCTACTATATAAATTACTTAACGGCTTTTTGTCTGTTGTTTTATATTTAGCTATCAAAACACCAGGGTCAAAAATGACTTCCTTACTCTATTTACTTTCAGATCTCTGAAGACTGCTCACCACTACTTTCTATTTTGAATGCATATAAAGTGTTTTTGAAAGACACTCAGCACAGTACAACTAAAAATTTTACAATACCCATTCCCTGAATATTTTATATTCAGAATATATTTAAAGAATGTAAACTACAAGGGTTGAAAGTAGTCCTTCAAAATTTTCAGCAATTACTAATTATATTGAGTGAAGAAAATTTCGTGAAATTTATTTTTTCCCAATATTTACATACAGGGTATTTGCAAAGATATCAGCATACACTTTTTCCAAATATAAAGGTTCAATTATTAATCAGTTTAAATTTTTTATACATTTATTTTATTTTATGTGGTGTTGGAAATTGAACCCAGGGCCTTGCGCCTGCTAGGTAAGAGCTCTACTGCTGAGACATAATTCCAGCCCCAAGTTTAAATTTTTAAACTACTTGATATATACCTTTCACTGAGAAAACTTTGTAAATGCATTATGTATACTCAAAATACAATATTATCATTTCTGTTAAGTAAATTCTCCTCAGAAAATTTCTAACCTTAAAATTCTATAAAGTAGGGCAATAATTCTTTTTCAAAGGTTTTACTGTCTTGAATTTCATATATTAAAGAAAAATAATAGCATTTAGGCTTTATTATCAAGAATAATATTCAATAGTATTAAACATCCTGACAGAAGTATAAGAGGAGGTGAAACAGAAGAATATTAGCTGGTTGACATGAGATTCCAACCTAAAAAGAAGAATAGTGAACTAAGAAGAAAGAGTGAAGGGGTAAAGGACATGGTGACATAGTAAAGATCCTGAAGTAAAACAAGCCTGAAAGTAAAAAGGTATTTCTACAAAACTATTTCTATTTGACTAAATCTAACTGATTTTAAAATTTGCTTTCAAAAATCACTTTTCCCAATGTTATGGTTTGGATATGAGGTATTCCCCCCAAAGCTCCTATTAAAGCAGTAATATTCATAATGAAATAATTAGACAATGAGAATTATAACCTAATCTGTCCATTCTACCCTGAAATAGCTGGGCAGTAACTGTAAGCAGATGGGGCATAACAGGAAGAAGTAGTTCGCTAGGGATGTGCCCTTGGGGATTATATCTTATTTTACTGGCTTCTCCTTTTCACCCTCTCTCTTTTAGCTTTCCTGCTCCATGCCCTTACCCCATGATGTTCTGCTTCACCTCAGGCCCAAGGCAATGGATCAGCTGACCATAGACTGAACCTCCGAAACCGTGAATCCACATAAACTTTTCCTCCTAGAAGTTGTTCTTGTAGGTATTTTGGTCAGAGTGTCAAAACCTAACTAACACACTCAAGAAAAAATTTCCAGACAACTGGGGTTATTTTGTTGTTTTTCTGAGAACAAAAACTAACTCTTCTCAAGGAAATGCTAAATACACCTAATATAAGGTGCTTCATATACATGTTCCAAAGGAAAGGTTCAAAACTGGGTTTCCAATCAATTTAAACATATGAATATTTTAGGCACATAGATAAAATACATAAATATATACTTCTAACATTTACTATCTTGACTTATAGATAGGTTGAATTATTATATGAAATACTGTTTTACAATCATTTGTTCTCTACTTATTTCATGAAATGATATTTATACTGTATCTTGCATCTTTAACACTAAAGTCTCTGTTATCATGAGATATTCTTTGAGTCATGTACACCATTAAATCAATCAACACAACTACAGTGCTTAGTACGGTGATCAATAAGTTTTAATAGTTATTCTTAGCTAACTGAATGCCATTTTCTGGAATATTTCATTCTCCTTTCCCAAAAACCTAAACTCTTTCGATATGTAGCAGTTAATGATTCCATGTAAGATGTTCTCAGCAGGAATTTAAAAGCCTATCATATAAATTGGTAAATTCTCCAACATTAAAAATTCCATATTTTACATTAAGAGATCTTTAAAAATTTCTTTATAATGGCACTCATTCAACAGGTATAGTAATAAAATCTTACCCTTAAAAATTAATTTATTTATATTAAATCATTTTCCTCCTTTTTTTCCGCTGTCAGATGACTTATATGAAAATACAAAACCACCACTGACAGAGAGCATTTCAAGTCAATGTATGTTCCCTAACTAGCTGTATTATTTTTTAACATTTATTTCTTAGTTTCAGGTAGACACAATACCTTTATTTTATTTTTATGTAGTGCTGAGGATCAAATCCAGTGCCTCACATATACTAGGCAAGTGCTCTACCTGTGAATCACAACCCCAGCCCACTATTTGTTTTCTGTTTTAAATATATTAACTAAAAAAAGCAACTAATAATATGTGAAATGTTATATAAGAACTGGGATATTTTTGTGAAAGATAATTTTGGAGGTAAATATCTTGCTTTATATTTGGGCATAGAGAGTAAATAGGAAATAGTATCAATAGTATATGATTTCAAGTAACATGTTTTTTGACAAATAACTGAATAAAAATAAAGAATCAATTATATATTACCTAGATGACATCTAGAGTTTTCTTCAATGGTGGATTGTTATGTGGCACAAAACACAGTCTTGCAAATAAAAAAAGATCAAATAAGAACTTTACCTGATATTCCTTTAGCCAGGACAACAGTCCTGAAAAGCTAAAACTGGCCCAGTTTCCTCCATAGTAGTTTCTTCTGTAACAATAAGAAAAGTAAAGGATGGGGTAAAAAATCAAGTCTGTGATCTTCACTAACCAAAATTCATGATCCATAAACTAACTTCATTTTTTAATACTGCTGCCTCAAGAAATCAAAAGCAGGGGTTGAGGATTCAGCTTAGTGGCAGAGCGCTTGTCTAGCAAGCGCAAGGCCCTGAGTTTAGTCCTCAGCCCTGGGAAAAAAAGAAAGAAATCAAAAGTATACTTATCAGGATTTTGACATAAGACGACATAATAGGCTGAAATAAATTCAGAGGTCTCAGATGCCAAAGGAAATTTTTCTTATAAGAAATTAAAAAAAATATATCTGGCCTCCATAGAGTTTTCTTCCCTGATCACTAGGCAGGTAAGATATATGTATGAGACGAGAGAGAGAGAAAGAGAAAGAGAGAGAGAAAGAGAGAGAGAGAGAGAGAGA